AGAAATTCCAGGAACTGTCGGGGGCTCCTTGACTTGCTTTATATTTGACTGCTGGAGCGGCAGGGATCCAACAAAAGCTCATGTGTAGCTGTCCCTCAGGACAGCCTCTAGCTGCATGGGCAGCTATTATAGCTTAATTCCTGACACTAATTGGAATGTTTCCAAGTATTGACACAAACAGTGATATAAAATCACATAGGTAATCTCTACATTTCATTTGATCTGTATAGAAGCAGAGAAGACAGAAGAATGGGTTCTGGAGATGCATCTCTCTGAGAGAAGCGGGAAGCTGGCACAGCAAATGATGAAGAACACAGCTGAAGGCAGTATGCGCCCTTGGGCACTCCCCTCTCTTCTGCCAGTGCACAGATCCATGTCTACAGCACCGTGCTTCCACAACTGTCACTTTATTGCACCCTGTGCTCTCTGACTTCCTCCATTCCACCGTCTGAGTGACATATATATAAAAGCAACTACACTGGAGGCCAAGTGTATTGTCCAGGGATTTGTCCTTTCTTTTTAACACAGAACAAAACTCAAATTTCTTCCCCTTCACAATTTCACTGCCAACACTATCAGTTGAGTATCACATGGCTTACCTCCACAGTGACATGCAGGATACACCAATAGAGATGCCCCAAGAAAACTCCAGCCCACCCAGCAGGCAGTAGGAAACTCACCATCACCATTCTCTGGTGACCAGCGGGCATGCTGAGACAGTTGTTTGCATTTTCTATGTTTATTTTTCTATTACTAAAGTGGGATTAACAGTGTTCAGCAACAGCTTTTGAGACCTACAAATTCTTCCTGTTATGGAACAGCACCATAAAGACCTATTTTTCTCTAAATTAAAAAAAAAATCTTTAATTAACTGATTATTCTAATTTAATTACCATATTCTTAAATTCTAAAATTTGCTAACCAAGCACATAGCACAACAAGCATTTTAGACACTACTAAAATACTAATAAGTAGAACAAAATTGTTTCAGCTGTGGATCTTGTGGTTTACTTTGTTCCCTAACAGATTTTGAGGAAAAAAAAAAATTCCTACAACCTTTTTTCCTTTCAAGTATGTTTTTAGGAAAAATCTATTTTCAGTACCAGTGAAATTCATCATATTATGACAGGAAAGCAAAATTGTTTCATTTCATAAGATCTTCTAACAGCATGAAGCTAACCCCATGGTCTCTGAGACAGAAATTCTGCCAGCTATAGACTTACAAAGAATCGGCAGAGAAAAAGAAGTTTCTCAGATGGAACTGTTAGTCATGATATGAAGAATGTGTGTCCCCTACAGATGTTATAGCTATTTATATGATAAATCCCGATCATCACTATAGGAATCTTACAGCCTTCTTTTAAGTTAATACTTAAGTTCAAATTAATCTTCTTTTGACAATGTTTGTGTAATATTTCAGTGTTGAACAACATTTCCAGGGTTACATTTACAGTAAGCCTACTGGGCACTTTTAAAGCTGTATTCCAGACTTTGTACTTGCTTCAGAAAGACTTCTTTTAATTCTTCAGTGCTTCACAAATATTTCTAGGAAAGACAAGTACAATAAGCATTGATAAATGCTTAACAAGGGCACATGTAGACTTGCAAGTTAACTGGAATTAACATTAGGGTTTATTTAGAGCACGCGACAGATTGTAGAACAGCCCCCTGGAAGAAAATATTAATTCCAGAATAAAATTACCTCATTCTCACGTTCAACAGTTGAACTGTTCTGAGTAACGTGAGATGAAGGAGAACAAAGCATGTTTGTTCCAGTTTGTGGGATCGTTGGTTTACTCAGGAATCTCAGTCTGGGGAATTCAGAACAAAACGAGGGATATGAAAATACCTTACGTTGTCTCCAAGGAACTCAAAGTTGCATAAATATATGCATATATAAATGTCATTGGTTTCAAATGGCAACAGCCCTTTTAAAACCAATGCTACATTTACACACTTCAAAGGCCACATTATGCAGAACACAGTGCTACACAGGGCACCGCACACCCTGACAACAGAAAAATATTTTTTTACAAGAATGCCTCTCTGCCATCACCAACGCATCCTTCCACTCCCTGCCCACACCTTCCTGTTCACTCAAGGCAGCAGGAGGTCTGGGCTTATTGTCTGGTTTTGGATGGCAAGCTGCTTGGTGGAGAAACAAAACCAGAGATGTTTTATTTGGGTGATACATGTTGACTTGATCTCAGTATCTCCACTTCTCTGCTCTCCGTAATTGGCAACAAAAGATAAACTCTTAAGTGCTTTCGCTATCTGACTACCAAGAAGAGCTCCTGGGTGGAAGAATTGAGCACCACCCCTGTAAAGGGAAGGCTGCTTCAAAAAGAGAGATTTTTTTCAGCCTTGGTGCTTCTAGCAGTGAAATGCACTTTGAGGTTATGGACCTTCTGTGACTTCTTTCTTCTTAAAATGCCATGTTTATTGTGTGCTTAATCTGCTTTTTCTACTATCTTTTAACATCTATCTTTGGATGAGACACTGAAAGAGGCAGCACTGGTAAGACCGAGGTGTTAAACCTCAGTAATTCTCAGTTCTATATGTAACATTTGGAGCAAAGCATAAAATGAGATCAGAAGCCCAGCCTGGCCTGGCCAGCCACACACACTGGTGATCCACAATGGATCATGAGGTGAGGAGCCTTCAATACCTTAAGGGGGTGACCAGGGTCCCATGACCGGAAAGCCTGAAATTATTCCAACCAAACACTTCCCCAAGGATTTAGGGGAAAGGGATCACAAGCAGAAGACGAAAGTGAGACGCAGCAGAAAAAGGAGGAATAAATCTAAGAAATGCCTCAGCCCCAGACCTTCCCATGCTGTATCCCTGATGGCACACAAAGCGCTTTGAAGTGAGATGCAGCATGCTGTAACGCTAAAAATTCCTGTTGACATTCATTGTACCTGCTGATGTTGACAGTCAGCAAAATAACCTTCATCACCTGCTGCAGAAAATTCTGGTGCGTGTCCAGTGAGTATTTAGGTGCAGCAAGAAAAGTGTAGGCAGAGATGATCTTGGGTATTTTAATGCTCATTTACATTTATGTATTTTTGTGTGGTGACCCATAAATGATCTTTCTTTCCAAATCCTTTTACAACCTCTGTGTGCCTTGTGCTCTTGGGGACACAACACTGCATCAGGTGTTCACAAGGCCACAGCTCTGACCTTGTAAGAATAACACCTGAGTGCCTGTAGAAGAGCAGGACAGGGAAAGCAACTCTTGTCATCCAGTCTTGGGGCAACCAGCATTTCCAACACCCCTGTGTGAGAAATAAGAGACAATCTGTGCCCATAACACGGACCCAAGCTCAAGAAAAGCAAGCCTATGGAGCCTACACAGATGAAGAGGAGACATTCAAGAGCTGACGCTCAACCTACAGAGTCTAATCACCAAGGCCTGGTGACATCTACTGAGCAGGCATTCACCATAGGTGTGATGTGCCAAACTTTTTATCGATACTCTTGCCTTCCCTAGGAAAGACCATACCCCTCCCTTCTCTGCAAGGAGAAAAGCACACAGAAGAGTGCACGTAACAGGAGAGCTGCTTCAAAAGAAAAAGTCAGAAAATTGTTTGTAGCTTACCCCACCAAGCAAATCAAAGTTCTGCAGAGAGCATTTTCCCCTCAATAGAAAAGCCAGACATTTGATGTGCTGCTCCACACCATAGTTTTGGTGACTTTATTAAAAGAAAGGGGCTGATGGCAGACAATATGTGAAGCTATCCCCCCATGTAAAACTGTTTTGTCAAGATCCAAGAAGTAATCTTACCATAGAGTTCATTCAAACAACATTTAAAGCAAGTAACCTCAAACTCACAGACTAAAATCGTAATAGAAGAAAGATGACTCAATTATACAAGATGTAGGAATTGACTATATAAATACTTCCTGCTGTAGATTTCATTCCTATACAGTTCCAAAGATAAAATCTACTATGGAAAGAAAAAGCAACATAATACCTCACATTTCAAACCCAAATCATGTTGTAACTGGGATAAAAGGAAACATACTATTTCATAAATACTCTGATTATTATATATTGTAAAAGTCATATCATTATAAGCAATTGCAATCACTGCATTAAGGAAACCATATAGAAGATAACATTGGCCTAAACAGAAAATTGCCATAGTAATATTAGGTTTTCTGTTTAAAGTAGTTGTTTTCATCTGAACAAAAAAGTGTATTTTGAATGACCTTTTCAGGCAACGGACATTTTAGGTGGTTCCATGGCAACAGCCCATTCTTAATTTACTATCGTTTAAGGAACACCCAGGAATAGTTAACTGAATAAGAAACAGTCTGGTATTAGGATCTCTGTTTTTTCCACAACTGTTCCCGTTTGCTGTCCTGTGTTTTTTGTCTTGTTAGATACACATTAACCTGTTCGACTGACCTCCACTTCCCTCCCAGTCCCTACAATGCATTAAAATTCTTTAAAAAGACAACTTGAGAGAGACTGCCTTTTGGTAAACCTCCTAAAGCGAGCTCTACACACTGGTCTGGCATGCGTTGTGTACATGCATCTGTCATGAAAATTTGATGAAAAATCATCTGTTTCCTGACAGATAGGCTGCACTGACTTCAAATTCCCATGAAATGTCTTTGTCCACCAGGAAGAAAAACATTCTCCTTTAAAGCAGTGATCATTCTCAAACTTCACCTCAATCCTCCATTTGCTTTAGTCTGTATTATCATTTATTTGTACTATAATTTTTCTGGATCAATTAAAGCCTGTCGCAAGAAACATCTTCCTGGTCATCTTTTGGGAAAATGTAAAGAGACAGGAACTAATGAAAGGAATGAAAGCAAATGTTTCACAGTAATAATGCTCTTTTCAGAGGGTGAGAAATGAAGATCCTTTTTAAGACTGACCTACCCCAGTTTGTTTAAAACTAAACTGAACTTGAACTGATAAACTACTCTTTTGAGATTAACCTGAATAGTGTACATTCAGCAAAACACTGTAAATCTAAACATACCTGAATTGGAGTCGAACTTTGTTTCTGACCTGCAAAAGAAAATAAAAAGATCATAAGTTACAAGAACTGCTTTATGCCATAAAAGCCATTTGTCAGACTGATCCCCCAGCAAATATCATCTTTAACAAGACTGTCTACCTCTGTATGTTAATACTTAATGCATTCAAGGGCACTTGAACCCAAATGATAACTATTACCTTTAACATTTTTTGGTTTTTACAATGTAGAGTTACAAAAAAGATAGTTTAAAAGACAAATTACAAAATGAATGCAGAAAATAGAATATAAATTTAAAACAGGATTAAATTATATGCTGTGAATCCTAGAACACAGTTGTTCCTATGAAATAAAGATTGTTTTCATTCATTTTCATTTTTGAAAAGTCATTAAGAGGATTTAATTTATTCATGAATGTTTCCAATCTATTTTTGAAGCAGATACCGTTTCATTAATGTCATATGTATTGTATTCAATGATCTGTACTTAATTGTACAACATCCTAGGAGGGTTTTGTTTGTGTGTGTCTTCAATTTACTCACTCTGCACATAGGAATAAGTGGTTTGATTTTCTTAAAAGTGGAAAGCAGGGGGTGGGAAGAGAGGGAGAGACAGAGGGAGCCAGACCTAAATTTTAACTTGTTTTAAAGTCTTTGCAAAAAGACAATGATGTGTGCATTATGCACCATTAGCTTTGGTCGTGCACTGCAGATTTTTCTCTCTCTAACAAGTAGTGTTTTCTTCTAAGGGCTTAGCACTTAGCAAATGAACCCTATAACCTGTATATTTAATAAAAGGAAGAAAAAATTAGCCCTTGTGGGAACATCATGTTTCAGATATAGGTTAATAATACTTGTAAATGTAGAAGCCTTTGAAGACCTCAATTCAACTGTGGGAAAACTTAAGTTGGGTAATTACTCTCAAGATGCTGCTGATGTGCTGTCAAGCAGAATTAACCCTATGACTAGGCCTATCTACACAATCTGCTATAAGACAGCATTGTCTATATCGAGCTCTCAAAGCAATTAACGGGCATGTTCCAATCAGATTTATATTGCCCACTAACAATCAGTTGTACACATGGTCATGGCTGTCACAGCAGGTCACAAGGTCTGACCAGCAGGAGAGCTGTTAAAGGATGTTACGTTGGCAGCAAAATGCATTTCGCCAGAAATTCTAAGGAGGAAGTACAATGTTGGATCCTTTTACGTTGCATCAGGGAGAGGATGTATTTTGGGAAGTTACAGTCCTCTTTTTTCAAAAATAAATGACCCAAGCTCAAGAACTAATTGCAGATTTATTTTCTTCTTTTATTTTATAAGCTTGTACACGTACGTGACGTGTAGATGTATTTTACACTCTATTTTATATAATTGGCATTGTAATCCCATATCAAAGATCATCATGCTACAGCAAACAAATATCAAATCAATCATGATATAAAAAGTAAACACATTCAGGCTATTAGTTACAGATAAAGCCATCAGAGAGGAAACAACTCCCTTCTCCCTTCCTGCTCATTCTCCACCTTCCCCCAGTGCTCACAATCTTTTATGTCTTAAATACAACTCTCAGGTGGTGAAAAGATGGAAGAGAAAAAAACATAACTTATCTTCCTAAATTGGTACTTACAAAGTACCACCAAAAGTACTGAACAAAGAACATATGTTGCTGATGTGCCTTCACGAATACCACCACCAATAACTGCCCAGGGCAGCGGCCTGTGCTCCTGTTTGGAGTTTATTTATTTCAGCTGGTATTTACACCCAGAAGGATAAAGTCCCCACCCTGCAAAAGGTGCATGCTGGTAACTGGGGGGAATTCCACCGAGTTCCAGGCAAAGCCACTTACTCAGTATTTTATTTACAATATTCTCTTCAAGTTGCAGTGTATCTGTCCAGACTGTTCACTCTTGCTCATCACTGTATCAGCAACACCTCACTACCTACATAGTCAGAAACAATGTAAGAACCTTATCCTCAGCATCTGTTTATCTGCACAGTCAGCTTCTCACTGCCTAAATTCTAGATATTTGGTATTAGTTTGTCAAACAAAGACCCTAGTTCTCAGCCTGCATGGCTTAGCACGGACATATGCACTGCAACTTGCAGCATCAACAAATTGGCTCAGGGGGCAAGATGGCAGAGAGTACATGGGGAGGAGGGTCACAAGGGTCACTGGGCACTGTAATGAGTACCAAAGCTCCGAACAGTCATAAATTACTGGATAACAAATCAGGAAACCAATACAGGGTGATAAATGAATAGAACTTTGTCTGCCAACAGCAGAATAGCTATGAAAGAAAACACAACATGGGAGGTAGCGCTAGGAGCCATTGAGAGGAGGAGGAGGGTCACCTATATTATGGTCACCATGCCACCTTGGTAAAACAATGCAAAATTTAGGACACAGTATTAGAGAAATTGTTAGAGATCTTAGAAAGGTGCAGAAAAAAGGGATTAAAATAATGAAGCGTCTTTGGTATTGCAAATAAGCAACAACTAGCAGATGTGAAAGAAGCATTCTGCAAGAACACAAAGTCATCTTGACTACTTGAAGGAATGACAAAGCTTCCAGCAATTTCAATGGAACCAGTGCTTTTCCCCTACATCTTCCAGTACTTACATCTTTTTCTTGACAGCATGCTAAACGAAGGTATCAGAAACTAGTTGCACATATGTGTTAAAAATATGCAACTAAAAATGGCTAATAAATAGGACAAAATTAAATGCTGAAAGTACGTTCCAAAGGGATGTTGTGCTACACACAAAAATACTCACTCTGATTCCTTTATACTTTTAAAAACACATTAACTAGAAGGAAAAATGTCTCTGTACATTGTTATCATTGTACATAATCTGATATGCAACCTAAGCATCCTACCAAACAAGATGCACCTTACAGAGCCAGGCACTGACTTTAAAAACTGTCTTTTATCATTTATCACAGTAAAAAGGAAAAAAAACCCCAATAAACAGAGAATAGCTTTGTGCATATTTTCTCCGCTTTTGCCCCTCAGGAGTACTCTGAAAGTCAGGGAATCATTCATAAATATCTTTGGAAAGGAGTCTATATGCATAAAGAGAGCAAGAGGATATTTATAAAGTGCTTTCCATTTCCAACTGTGATATGACTCAAATACACACAATACATGGCAATACAAATGCCACGTAGCTCATCTACCAACACACAATATGCAAGGAAATAGTGAGCTACTGCAAAGGTTTAGCTAAGGACAAGGTGCCGCAATACTTTTAAAGGTACCAGAAATAATTAAATCAAACACAAGCAATAAAATATATGATGGTCATTTTATCTGTACTGCAAAGAAGCGTAGGATTTCGACCTGTTCCTTTTAAAAGGCAGTGTAAACAGATGTTCGGACTGCCAAATACTGAGAAAGAGAGAGAAACAGAGTAATGATAATCACCATGTGTTCCTGTAGTGTGAATTTTCAACTACTGCCTTCCAAAGTATGATTGACGTGCAATTCCTCAGTGCCACATACTATGGTGTGACCAGACATGCTACAGCGCAAGCTAACACAGATCTGTTATTTGCCAGTGAAGTGGGCTTTTGGCAAGGAGAGGTGAAAGAGGACTTATTGCAGAACCTCTACTGTTGTGTTATAACTACCTTTTTCTTTCACTCTTCTTGATGAAGTCTTTATCAGGTTTAGTCAGGTTTCGTTGAAGCCCAATATTGGAAACAGCCTTTGAAAGCCCCATAGCTCTCCAAAAGCAGCTGATGAAAACTCTGCAGTTCTGATCCTTTTCTTTTAACACTGAAAGAGCCATTGACTCCTCTTGGCTTTCTTACACCTTTGCATTATCAGTTTATATCAGGATGTTCCTTCGCAAGGTTTTGCTTCAAGGATGCTAAACGCAACATCGGTAGGGGCAGACATTCAAAGTGCTACTCCTCTCTGAAAAGGACTTTGATTGAATCAAGAACTGTTGCAGTTGTAAAGATGACAGCTGCAGCTTTGGTACATCTTCATTTTCAAAGAACTTTATTCCATATTGGCATGGGTAGTTTGCTGAAGAGACAAGGGTCTAGGAGGCTCCTGATGCAATCCAAGCCAGCCAATGTCCTGGCCCATGTGACAGAGCAGAATAAAATCATTCCTCTCTCTTTCCCGTTTGCCCTCAATAGCACAGAGAATACCGAGTTGGAGTATCAGTGTTCTTGGCTACAGTGTTGCTAGCAAGCTAAAGGCCAGGGCAGAAACGCTCAGCTGTGAACATGTCCCTGGACACTGTGTTGGCCCATATCACGTTCATGTGAACTAGCACTCTCCTAGGCAGGACCTAGGCAAGCTGCAGGGAAGGCTCAGGCCAGGGACCATTCCCTACAAGCAGGATAAGCCAGGCGGCTCTGTTTCAGAGGAGAGGAATTTAGGCTAACAAATACAAGTCATGTCTTGTCACTTGCCTTTAGGGCCAGAGATGAGGCTTTTGTCCATTTTATTTACTGCCCTTCTGAAAAACCAAATCATTATTTGGAAGTGGTCACTGATCTTACGCACGAGCCCAAGCTCCAAATAACAAGGCAAGCTTCCAGAAAGAAAAACACAGTGGTATCCCAATGTAAAAATTAATACCTGATGTAACCATCTAGGAATTTATGAGACCCACACCATCAGGGAATTTTAGAAGCCCCTGAGCATTAAGAACCAAGTAGTTCCTTGGGCAGCAGCAGGAGCAAAGCTGGGCTTGCTGCTGTGTTGTGGTCAGGGACAGATCCTGTGGTGTCTAAGGTGGCAAAACTACTCACAGGTACTTCCCAGAGCTGGACATTCACATGCCTCTCTCTCTTCCACCCTCATGTGGATTCTCTGTTATAATACAATAATATATATATTATTTACAATAATATTATCTGGTATAATCTAATAATATGGTTGAACTCTTGTTCAGGTCTCTCCTCAGAGAGGGCTTGAATGTGATCTCTCTCCCGATTTCATGAAAGTTTAAAGAACTTAATATCTTTGAGGTTTAATAGCTACTCCCCTGCCAAATTTGGCTGAAAT